ATATATATATATATATATATATATATATATATATATATATATATATATATATATATATATATTCCCTGTGAAGAACGGGTTCCATTCTCTCAAAATCTACAGTTGCGGTTATATGATCCTAATGGAGTGTGGAAGACTATATTTATTAGACTAGAATATTAATAATCTCGTGTGAATATGAAAAAGTCTGCATTTAAATTGCCACGTATACAGCAGGTTTTGATTATAAAAACGTGGATGATACCCCTTGTAAATATTAATTGAGCAAGTTAATCTTTGAACTGTAACAGGCCATAATTACCCTTACAAAAGTTGGTTTCAAAATGATGGTATAAAACTACTTTTATTGTAAAAGTACAAGGTGATGATAAGGGGCTAACAGTAAGTTTGGTGAACGTATTATTTAAATGATTTTGAGATAGGTACGTGCATTGTATACGTTTATGTTGTATACTGTTTTCTGCAATTCCAGTTTGCTCAACCTATTTCGGACGCATACATAACATTTCAGTTGTAATATATCTGCCTAAATTGTTGTATGCTGCGGTAAAACACGTTTCAAGTGTATATATAATGAAATATTAACTTCGATATCTGATGTAACCTGCTCAGGCCGATAACATACGATTCAGTGTCAGTTAAACATCGGATAAAAAAGAAATAATCGTCTTCCAATTAATATTAATTATATTAAGTAATGAGTTTGATATTTTACGAATAAATGAATATTTCATGTCCATGTTAATAAATTAATTTTGGTATGCCAATACGGTTTAACACGCGATGTTTTCCAAAGGTTTCTAAGGTTATTTTTATATATGTCTACCAGGGTTGAAGCAAACAATTTTGTGCGTGTGTGCGCGCACCGGCGCTCGCGTGCGGGAAACTCAATCATAAATACCAATAATTTGAACGGAATCTTAATATTTATTTTCTCTATATTCATGCAGTAATATGAACTTGTCTTTCTAGGCCGAACAAATACAAGTTACGATTTAGGAATGGTATCAATATATTTTAATTGCAGCATCACGACAGGGATTCAGTGTGAAATCCACCACGTAAAGACTCAAAATTAAAGCGTACATACCGTTATATTATTTATTTAAGTTGTATCGATGAAACGCAAATGTTCATTGAAATGATAATGAAATATCGTATGAAAAATACACGCACCACAACACACAACTGTTGTTATATTGGGCCCACAGCTTACAGATGGGTGCAATGGCTAGTGATTCCTATTTCATAAGTCTAATTAGGGCACTGTTCCACAACCTGACAACTGAGCTTCACCATTTACTAATTCATAGTAGCATTAATATGAACTACACTACTCTGGGTGCACTTGTCCAATCAATACCAGTCTGCTTCTTCACAATAACAACACGCCACACGTTTTTCTGAGTTTGAAGAAACACTGCCATGAGGAAATACACGTATATTGGCAGTTTGTTTTGCTGAACATATTTAAAAAGTATTTTTAATTAGTAACAAAAAAAAAAACAAGGACAAAACATAGCAAAAAGTTAAAGTTGCACAAAATCGTACTGTAAAGGTACTAATCAGTTCATTTCCATTATAGTTGTTAGATATATAATCGGAAGTTCTACGCTGTGTTATATATGTCTTTCCCTTAAATAAATGTGATTAATTTGGAAATAAGAAATAAATGAGAAATAAATGATTAGTTTGAAAATGAAAATTACAATATCGGAAGTAAAATATACATACACCTGCGATGGGTTGGCGCCCCGTCCTATAGATTATTCACGTGCGCGCATAGCCTTCGGAATAGGCCCCGCACCCTCGCGATATAGGAAATAAATGGATGGATGGATGGATGGATGGAAATACATACATATACACAGAATAACTTTATAAACACAGCGCTGGCCGTTTCACACAAAGTGACATGGTAATTGAATCTAACAGATTGAATATTACTTCTGATTACATTTATTGTTTATTATACAGTGAAATTAGAACTGGGCTGTTGAATTCAGGAGCATCGCTCGACTAGTGCATATAGTCATGTTCTCGGTGAGGTTATCGACCAAGGCAAAAAAAAGCGCTAAAAGTATCAGGCATTAAATTGAATTTCTAGGTTTTTTTTATGAATGTGAAATATAATTTATTGGCAAAAACATTATAAATCACGCCATGCGTGAATTAACTGCTTGAAATTGATAGAATAGAATACAGAAAACTAATAAATGCATTAAGAAACAATAGTATGCAACACAAATATTAGTTAATTGTAAAACTGACTTTTTTTTTCCATCGGCGACCCATTAAGAAGCCACGGTCACAGCTGGAAGTTGTTTTGAACCTAAGTAGCCTATTATGTTTAAAATGCTTTTAGGAAATGTACAAATGATCATTTGTTAATTTCACCGTCATTATTTAACTAATACCACGATATCGATTGGTTGGTGTGGATTATATCAGTCTTCTAGGGCCATATGTGCGCGTACATTTGATTGAATCGACTTGTTGAAGCTAAATGCAAGGAAATTTTAACTGAATATACGTTGCATTTTAATATATAGGCATACAAGCACAAATAATGATTATTCTTGCTTAAATATATTGCAAATGACGAACGTTATAGTAATTCAAGACCTTGTAAAATAGTCCAAACTATTTGCCCTCTAGAAAGTATTGCCTGACGTGAAACAAAATTCTTTTAAATAATAATAACAAATTTTAAAATTTGAAGCGCATAGACTGTTGGAAAAAGTAACTACATGTCATGATACAAGAGCTTGATGAAGCGCAATTATAACAGGCAATGGACGCTGTATAATGAGAATCTAAGCTGGGAAACGGGCGCTCATTTCGGCGATTCCTTTTATAATGATGTATAGCTTTTGCCATCGTCTCCATTTCTCGCTACAGGATACTCGATATATTACAAAGGCTTATACGCGCCTTCAACCGACGACGGTTTACGTCCACGGGATGGCGAGCTGTTTCAGAGTGTGGAGTTGATTGAAAAGGTGCCTGGATCCAAGCCGTTGAAAGGAAGTTTCTTGGCAGCATCGTCTTCAGGATCGGGGTGTCCTGACTTTCAGAGCGACGGGAGGTTCTACGCTCATTGAAAACAGCTCGATTCTGCGCTGGGCTGTTCTGTTTTGTGTAAACTTTGTCTTGTGTCCCATTTTAAGCCAGAAAATAAACCTTATTGCGGGGTATCAATTTTGGGAAATACAGGAAATATTTATACTTCCCAGCGTTCTTTTTGAACTTCCCATCGTTTAAATTATGCATGCGTGATCTTCATTAAGCTTGGCGAATAAATTAAGTGATTTAATTCCTATGCATCCTACAAGAAACCGTAGATAACTTACATAGATTAAGTTTCCTAATAAGTGTGGTTCTTGGAGAGACAATGTTAGTTGTTTGTTGAGTTGTCAATTATTGCGGAACTTCGGGTTGAACAGATCACCGTGAGTAATAGCCTTATTTCGTAAGAGAGCATTATCAGTCATCTTTGTTTGTGTGTAAATATGTACATATACAAATATTTCAGTGGAAATCATCAATATGTTTAGGTCTCCAGTTCAGTACAAGTTTTTAGTCCAAGAAATTCCTAACGATGATCACACGTTATTCTTTAACAGATGTTTTTAATAATGTATTTTTTATATAACATATTTTGGAAAAAAAGTACTCGTGAAATATTTCATTTGTATTTAAAAGTAATACATTTTAAAAACATAGTTAAATTATGTAATATAAAATAACAAAAATATGCATTATATATATAATATTATATTCCAAACAAGTTAGTATATAAATACTCCACCTTTTTTGTCTCTGCTTATCATGGTAATAAGCTTTTGAACTGGTTTGAAATTTTAACTTTACAAAATTTTAGTTTTATTAATAATTATAATTATTAGTGATAGTTGTAGTAGTATTTAGACAAATATAGATAATTTTGGACTAGTGATGTCTAGGGAATTGAGTAGAGAACTGTACTCATTTTTATTAGAGTGTTTAGAATGTGTTACACACACACACACCCAAACCCAAATCACTGCCGTATGTACCAGGTTATGTGCCATATTGTCCAGAAAAGTCCTGTGACTTGAAATGGCATGCATATATATATATATATATATGACAGATGTGAAATTGTTATTTATAAATTATATAATGAATTGTTATTTGTGTGTGTGTATATATATATATATATATATATATGTGTGTGTGTGTGTGTGTGTGCATTACTAAGGGGATTTCTTTTGCACTGTACTGATTCTATTAAAACTGCATTTCTTTGGAAATATTAATATGAGATTATTTAGGCTCACCACAGTGTGGGGTGCATTTACCAGGGTTATTGGATTATTTTTCCCTTTCATAAATGACCAATAACCATTTATTGCATTCAGATTGCTACTTAAAGACAATACATTGTATGTATTTGAAGTATATTATTCAGAAAAACAATTGAGAGAGGAGCTCTATAAATCTGAAAGCCAGTTGGGTTAAATAGTGGAAAACAGTTCCCTAACTTCGGGAAAATAACTTGAGGAAAGTAATGAACAGAAATTCTGCACTGGCTGAAGCTCCAGTTTAAAAAACCAGTTAATACTGTGATATATAAATGCTTCTCCAGGCTTGGGGGACTGTGGAATTGTCATTACAGTAATGTTGACATCAGTCTGTATGGATCTTAACCTGTGACAATTTGATCTCAAGTTCTTTGGTATTTATGGGCCCCCCAGTTTTACAAATATTTGCCCAACATGATAAAATAGTCCAGAAGTGATTGAGGGTTAAGTGCTGTTACATATCCTTATAGCATACAGCGAAGTCCTACTCTGAAACTCTTATGCTTACAGGTTGCTGTATTCATTAGATCACTAAATTCTGTCAAGACATCAAGACTTTAAAAAAAGTCACATTCCATGTAGAGAACATGAAAATGTGTGGCTTGTTAAACTAGCTCAAGAAACATTCAATTAGGTTTAGCTTATTGTTTCCAGCAGTGAAAAGAAATCTGGGTAACATCACATATTACAGAAAAAATGGGGGCATCTTGATGAGCGTGCAAATAAACAATAGGACAGGACCTATCCGGCCACGTTCACTGGCTCAGGAGAAGACGGGCTCTCTTTTTGGCCTTGGTTTTTTGTTTGCCAGTGGTGGTGGTCTTTCGTCTCTCCCTTAATGTGGCTGGTACACTAGACTGTCTTAGACCTGACCACTCTGTCTCCCTGAAGTGCTAGGGTGGTATGGGGGGATTGTTGTTGAGGTCAGGCCTTGATACACACTTTGACCAACTGTCAGGCATTCTTTGTGACATCCTGCATGCACCCTCTCCTTTCTGAACTCTACTGGAAATTTGATTAAAATAACAAGTTATTCAGAAATATTCAGAGGTTGATTTAAAAATAACAGAAAAACTCCAATCAAAATGAAAACATTTATTCATTTTTGTTAGACTATCTCCTAAATCAAAATTTCAACCTTTTTTTAAACTGAGTCCCTCAAAAGAAAATAGGCTCAGGACCCCCCACCCACTGTCAATAATAGAGGTGACATAGGTGGCCTAGGGCTCCACTGGGCTTTGACCAGCACTGGTTCTGCCACTACTGCATGATCACATATTTCACTAAGAACCAAGCATTTCTCCCCTTGAGTATCTTTCTAGTTGTGTGAAGTGGATTTCACCCCCGGTCAAAAAGCCCTGTGCTAAATGTTCTTTATAAAATTAAAATCAAACCCAAATTACTGCCGTATGTACCAGGTTATGTGCCATATTGTCAGGGAAAGCCCTGTGACTTGAAATGGCATGCAGGTTTGTGCCTTGGGACACTGCAAGTTAATTTTGATGGCAAATAATTTAGGGCAGAATGTACCACTAATGACTTCAACAAAGCTGTGTGTTGACGTGCAAGGTGCCCTCACAGCCAACACTTAACGCGCCACCAAGGCAATATGTAGTGCCTGGTAAAAGTAAAATCGCAAATAATAATAATAATAATAATAATAATAATACATTTTATTTATATAGTGCTTTTACAAGAACTCAAAGTCGCCTTACAGAGTGAGTACACAGAAAACAGATTACACAAATACACATTATGCATACGGAAGGTTGAATGCCTGAGCAAAAAGAAAGGTTTTTAGCTTGGTATTAAAATCTGAACCAGAGGTCGATAAACGGATGGTAGTAGGTAGTGAGTTCCAAAGGTGGGGAGCTAAACGGGAGAATGCACGGTCACCATAGCTATCAAATTTGGAAGTGGGGATGAGGAGAGAGCCAGCAGAGGAAGATCTAAGACTGCGGGGAGGCTGGTATTGGTAGAAGCAAATCAGTAAGATATGGGGGACCTTGATTATTAAGAGCCTTAAATGTCAGAAGCAGTATTTTGAAATGAATGTGCTCTTTTATAGGGAGCCTGTGCAGGCTCTGCAGAACGGGTGTGCTGTGCTGATGGGAAGGGGTGTGGTTAAGGAGGCAGGCAGCAGAGTTTTGAACTATCTGAAGTTTATGAAGAGATTTAGCGGAGATACCAGCAAGTAGTGAGTTACAGTAGTCAAGACGGCTAGAGATAAAGGCATGAATGAGGGACTCGGCAGCAAATGCATCCTTGGAGTATTACATACATGTATCTGAAGTACAGTATTCACTACACTTATACGATGTATAACTGCGTATGTGACAAACATGAATTTTGAACTTGAAATTAAATGTAACTTATGTCAATATTACATAGATATGGGGTATGTATTTGAAGCGTTCAATACAAAACTTTCCTTTCTAGAGGGTTCCAAAAATTTGGTGGCAAATATGAACACATTGTACATAGTTTTTCTATTACTATATTATTATTGTATTATTTCATTTTTAAATGTTACATGTAGCAGTCACATTGAAAGACCAGATCAATAGCCTAAGTAAAATGAATGTTTCATTTACATTCACGGGAAACTTGTATTTGCGCTATAGTTAGAGGTAAAATTATTCATTCGCAGCTACATTTTATGCTTATGTATTATCTTTGTCAATTTTACATCATATTGGACAAAATAGCCTGGCAAATAAATATGCTCAAATGTTGCAGTAACGCAGATAATATTGTTGCAGCTGTAGTCAACATATCTGCACATTTACATATGTGCAGAATGATTTGGATAATGTATAACGAGTTCATTGAAATTGTGTACTTTTCAGAATCAGAGGCCAGCCCGGGCTCAGACGGCGAAGGCCTGGCTGAGAGGTCGTCCTGTTCCTTTGGTTCCACCTCAGATCTGACCTCAGCTACTTGCGATCCACCCACCCTTTCGTCCATGGATGAAATTCAGGTGGAGCTGCAATGTGCTGACCTCTGGAAACGATTCCACGACATCGGCACAGAGATGATTATCACAAAAGCGGGCAGGTAAGACAACATGTGCAACGGAAGTGGACATAGCCCGTAAGGTATACGCACGTATTTCTGCGAATAGATTTCCATTAAAATGTTTCTAATTAGTGAGTACACTAATTAAATAAGGAAAAGAGGTTGATTTACTTTAATGAATAAAAACCGGTTATAAAGCTTATATTGAACGGAATACGAGTCACCCGCAGGTTCACGCATGTCCACTTGGCTATTAAGCGTACGGGGTAACAATCCGTGAAAGTTACGTTTCTGGGTCCTTAAGAGGAGAGTTTTTAACTATCGAACATATCAGGGGCTAACTCAAGTTTACCTGGGGCTTGACTTTTTTTTTAAAGGAAGACTGGCATCTGGGCTATGTTTAACATTCTCCGCCTATATTATATTGAAAAACATTCAAATAATCGTGACGGAAATTTCTGACCAATGATAGGTAGCCTATAGGTGAACTCATAGGCCTAAGGGCTATGGGTCTGCTGAACTGACCTGCCTCGAGGAATGCTTTACCTGTGGGTTTTTTAATTTTATAAACAACAAATAATTAATTATACTTTAAGTTTTAATATTGTACATCCGGCAAAAGACCAGCTCTTTCGTTGTATAAATTATTTAGAGCCGTCGATTCTTTATTCGTTAATGCTTTCATTACCTTGTCTGTACTAAAACTAATCAATAGTACAATATTAGGCTATTCATTTATATTAAAGTAGGAGAAGATCACCGGGACCATCTATAAATTGCTAAAAAAAAACAATTATGCTAGCATGGCGCTAAATTTGTCGATACTAAACAAAATGGCTCATAACAAGCTTTTAAAAAAAGCTCAATAAATAGCTAATTATTTTGGCTAATTTTAATTGGCTACTAAAAACGTATTGGTTTCTATCGCATCTTTTAATCGAGTATAGCTATTTTAACATTATGGCATTAATACAGATTTTATTTTATTTCATTTCATTTCGTTTTTTACAGGCCCCTTGTGTTAAAATGTAAAAACAATATAGCCAGAGTCACAATGAATGTACAACTGGCATTAATTAATTTATTTGTTTGTGTTAAACTGATTCCATTTTATAGTCAATGCAGTCATTGTTATACTATTACTGTTAACTACCCTTAAAATTAAATCTAAATTCTTATAATTGGTTACAGTTGTAATTGGTTAATGTTGAAGTTCTGTAGTTATTTATTTTAGCAATTCTTTACAACTGAATTAATCCTGAAATAACCCTCACTATAGCTCGAGATAAATCGAGGAAGGAAACCCAAAAAGCATACATTTTCATATTGTCGAGTAATTCATTTTTTAATTATTATTATTGAGTGTTGTTAAGAAAATCGTCATAGACGTGCCCTTGTTTTATATAAGTTCTTAGGCCCGTAATTAGTGCAGTTTTAATTTTTTTATTACATTTGCAATGGTGACTGGGCTTTAGGATTTAATTACTTCAATCGTTATAACGAAAGTTATTTCCTCGAATAGGCCACATTTATTACTTGCTTCAACTAATAATGATCCTCTAAATTTAGAAGAAAAGCGAAAAAACAGTCCTCTCCTTTCATTATAAAAGGAAAGATTTATGATACTTAATGAAAAAACGCGACGTTTAAAATGGTACAGCGGGGAATTGACTGGAAACGTCTGTCTGCTCCAGCCGTACATTTTAATATGGCAATGTCGCTAAAATGTTAAGTTTATTTCAAAGCGCGCAGAAATTGCTTAGAGTGAATTGGGTCCAGATTGTGAAACAGGCTAGTTTACTGCCAGCTTATACTTTACAACTACATCGTTTTCTTTCCTTTTAGATTATACGGAACCGCTGAATCTAAGTTTATAGATACACGCATTACACTTTGAGCGTATACCTTGACACCTTTATTATGGAATATATTTAACAGGTTTATGCGTTTTTATTTTTACCCCTACTCACATTAGCACCGTTGTATATTGGATATCGTTATGAATGAGGTTTACACACGATAACTAATATTCTTATTTAAATATGATGTTTTAAATCCATTTCATAACAATGTAAGCATTTGTAATCCATTTCATAACTATGTAAGATTTTTTGGTAACAAAACTCTCAAATCTCCACAGCTGTCCCCAGATAAAGGTTGGGTTACTGGGTAAATTTGTCAATCAAGACAGGCATATTATATGACACTTTACACTAAAACGTGTTCCCCTTTTATATGAAACATATTAAGCAATTCAAATCTAACCTTACATTCCTCTAGCATCCTACTGCAGCCTGTGTTCTGGGAATCACATTGTGTTCAAACTATGTGAATTTTGTTATATTAGGGCCATGCAGTATGCTCTGACAAATGTAGTAATCATCTATTCAAATAAATATTGCCGTTACCTTTCTTATTTTTTATTTGCCCAAAATCACCTTAAATGTAAAAATAAACACAACTGGTTTGTAAAAAATAATGATCTGTAACTAACTAAATATAACTGATGAACTAAAATAAGTTAAAAAGCATCATCCATTTGAGGTCCAGGTTAGAGAAACCGCAGTTGTACTTTGGTACAGAAAAGGGGCCGCATTGTACCTAAAAGCCACTTGAGAGTGTGAAAATGATGGTGGTCATGTGGCTACCATTTTTTCACCTCCGCCTTTTCACTTCTTTCCCTTCAGGAGGATGTTTCCAGCCATGAGAGTGAAAATCGCTGGCCTGGATCCCCATCAGCAATACTACATTGCGATGGATATAGTACCAGTAGACAATAAGAGATACAGGTCTGTAATCCATCCTTTGTGTCAGAATGGAAAAAGAAAATTCAGAAAAATCCAAAAAGACTGCAATATTGTTTAGCCCCAAACACTCCTGGGACAAAGACACTCTCTGATTGCCATTGGTCTGCCAACCAGACTTTGCACAGCTAAATATATGGGCTTGGAATCTGTAGTTTTTTTTTACATTTCAAACAGTTAAAATGCAAGCCTTAGGCCTTTAAGGAAACCCTGTAGAGATCCTCAAAATGCATGCAAGACTTTAGAGGCCAAATGTAGTTATAAAAATTAAATTGGATATTTTCCCTGGCGGAGACATTTCCCACAGTCCACTATAACACTATAACCATTACATCATGGATTGCCTTTAGTATCACCAGAATGTTTGCTTTTTTCTTAGCTGGATCCTGGAATTAATGACTGAAATGTGGACCTTAACAACCTTGTCCTGTTTTGGTAAATCAAATTGGGTGTCGCCCATGCATTGTTTATAATCTTTGAACTCAGAAAGAAATAAAGAGGAAGTTGCCCTGTCCATTTGACAGCTTGCCAATCCTTTAAACATTAGAGGCACATGCATTTTAGCTGAAATCACATATTGACTCTCATCCTTTGTATAGTGGACTACACAGTAGTGATTCACTGGCAGTGTACACGATTGTATTTGTGTGTGTGAATACCCCCCCCCCCACACTTCCTGTCAGACAGAATGTCACATACAGTCCAATCTTTATTGCTTATGTTTTTGCCAGATGGCACATCTATAAGAGTTAATAGAGGAATATTCCAATTTCCCTCTGTTTAAAGTTAGACGTTGGCTTGCTTTAACACGTTCCTTGCTTGACACCTAGACCCCTCTCACATGAAATGAAGCCAAGCCTGGCACTCTCTGTGGTTGGGGTGGGTAATAACAAGGGCCCTACAAGGGTTTCTGTCCATGTTTTATCCCTCATAGGTGACCACAGCTGAAGCGTTTCTATGATGTATGGGGGCTATTAGTTGCTAGTAGGGTTTTGGAGGGGGACAGAGGCATTTTCTTTTCAGCTTTTCTGTTGATTCGCCAGCCTTACTGTTTATTCCTCGGACAGTGACTGGTCCGTCTCCCTGATGCTAGAAATTTGACTGGTCTTTTTCAGCATGTCCTCCTGCCCTTTGGACTCTGATTAGCGTCCCACTCTCTCCTTGGCTCTGCAGATACGTGTACCACAGCTCCAAGTGGATGGTGGCAGGAAATGCAGACTCCCCCGTACCCCCCCGTGTTTACATCCACCCTGACTCACTGGCCTCTGGGGACACCTGGATGAGGCAGGTGGTCAGCTTCGACAAGCTAAAGCTCACCAACAATGAGCTGGATGACCAGGGCCATGTGAGTTGCTCCGCCCCCTTTTCCACTTGTATGGGGAACATGCACCCATTTGTATCCATGGATGAGTAACAGTACTGATTACACTCAGGTTAAGCAGCATTCTAAGCCTGTGCCCCTGAGTAGAGCTCTTTACTTTTCTTACGCATTGCTGTACTGTATACCAGAGAGTGCCAGGCTTGGCTTTATTTCTTGTAAGGGCGCTTTTCCACCGCACAAAATACGGTACTTTCGGTACTTTCGCTTTTCCATTGACTTCCAGTTGAGTACCGAAAGTGCCAAACCAGCTGGGGTACTTCTTTGGTACTTTGGTACTTTGGGGTGGGACTTAGAAACGTATTTGCTGTCGATTGGTTATGTAAATAGCCTGCCGCTGAAATACAAAATACACACAGCTAACAGCGAGAAACAAATAAAAAGCAGTAGAAACAAAAATATTTTAAAAAATGTAAAATGGAAGGATGGACAAACGAGGAAACACAGGCTTTAATCGCCATATGGTCGGAATAACAGATCCAGTGGGATTTGGATGGCACGCCTCGAAATAAAAAAGTTTTTGCCATTCCGGGCAATTCAGTTTCCCTGTTTCCCCTGTCGCGCGCTGATTTGTACACGGTTTCGCTGTTGTTTTCACGTCTTTTTACGAAGCTCTTGAGGTAAACAAGCCATATATTTTAAAACATCACATGCCTTTTCGATGTTTTTCGTTTTTACAGATAATAAATTAAATTATTTAATTCGCTGGATAGAGATATTTCTTGATGAAAATGGTATAGTATTGCTTATAAGACTATATTATGCGTGACAATCTTCTGTATTCACATGTAATAATGTACCTGAGTGATTTTCAGACATCTCATATACATCTTTGCCTAAATGTTAGGAGAAACATTATTTCCTGACATCCAGGATATTTGGTCCCCCCCTGTTAAAACAGGTATACAGCAACTCTGGGCCTTGGTACTAATAACAATACAGTATTCACATGTAATAATGTACCTGAGTGATTTTCAGACATTTCACATACCTCTTTGCTTTAATATTAGGGGAAACATTATTTCCTGATAGACAGGAGAAACATAGGGAAACTGAATTGCCCGGAACACCGTAATACCAAGCCACTTGAAAGAAATGGGGCACACGTGAAACACCGAACAATTGCCTCTTGAAAATCAAAAAACATAATTAAATAATTTGTTTGCTTTCAAAAGACTGAATTAGCAGTAAGCTAATTCTTACTGCTTTGATCGGCTTAGCCAAAGTAAGTGTACCTACGTAAACGTAAATGATGGCAGGATTCATGCAATTTGGATATTACTGAATCTTATACTGTGATAGAAGCTAATATAACATGACATAACAATAAACCGCATTTTCCAGCCTAAACTGTTAATTTAATTAATTGGGCTGTTTTTTTAATATTTTTTATATTATGATTTAAGCTGCGCGTTGTGACGATGTCAGTCAGGGGCGGTCACTGATGATGTCATTTGGCGCCGGTACCATTTTTTACGCCAGTGGAAAACATACTTTTGGCACTTTATGGAAGTACCGAAAGTACAGTACCTGGTGCGGTGGAAAAACGCCCTAAGAGTGGTGCCTGTTTTAGGGTTAATGGGCCCTTCTCTGGGGACCCAAGGCTGGCAATGCCTACGTTTAATGCCCATGCATGCCCCTGTGGGTTAGTTACTTTTTTGTCTTGTTTGGCTCCCTCTAACTTTTTTTGTGAGTGAAGATGGTTGACAAAAGTAACAAGTACCTTATCTGCACGATGAAAGTGCTTCTCTGGAAGCTTGTAACACAAGCAGAGTGTGTTGGACACAGGTGATGATTTATAACTGCAAGGAAAATGATAAGGTGCCCATTTACATGAAATGTTTTTACATTGTATTTAGTTGAAGGTATTTTAATAACTAAAATGAGCTATGGGATGTTTCAGGTTTGTTGTGTCCCAAAGTATACCGTCAGCTGGTTTAAAAGGGCAATGTCCATTTGATCTTCAAAGAGGATAAAAAGGCCTGGCTCTCAAAATGAATGTTCTCAGCTACAACACAAACTCGTACCTGAGTTCCAGCTCAGTAGAACCATCTCACACATGGATGGATACTCTCTGCTTAGCACCCTCTTCCACAGTTATGCACATACTTTTTTCTCAGTTGCACTTTTTTCTCCCATACAAATAAACTATATAAATGAATTGTTAAAATGGTGTTTATCTTATCTTATTTGCCTTATGGAGATGATCCCATAACGTCTTTTTTCAGTAATCGCTGTTTTTTAGAAGCACTTGTCCTAACTTCTCCATGCAAAGTGACTTACGGTTGCACAGCGTGTGACTGCATATTCTCTGTCTCCTTATAGGTCATCCTGCACTCCATGCATAAGTACCAGCCACGGGTCCATGTGATCCGGAAGGACTTCAGCAGTGACCTCTCACCCACCCGGCCAATCCCAAGTGGAGATGGAGTCAAGACCTTCAGCTTTCCAGAGACTGTATTCACCACTGTAACAGCCTACCAGAACCAGCAGGTCAGTCTGTCATAGTACAATGCCCTAGTGAGCCTTCTTCCAATCACTGGAATCCAAACACAAGACATTCCAGTTCTTTCTGAAGTTCCAGAGACTTCCGCAAACTGACAGTAGCTCCCTGACAGACACAAATGATGCACAGTGTTAGAAAAATCTGCTGTTCTACTATTCAGCAGCAGTAATATTCGTCTGCTTCCCTGACAATGGATCATATATATATAAATAGGCAATTTCACATGTTCCCTGCTGATTTACTGATTGCACAGTTTGATGGCCATTGGAAAGAATGATTTCCTGAGCCACTCAGTGGAGCATTTTATGATGAGGAGTCTATGACAATACATGCTTTTCTGTCCAACCACAACACTATGAAGCAGGTAAGTAGTTGTCCATAATTGACCAAAGCCTGGACAGCATCCTCCTCTCTGCCACAGTGCCGATAGTGTCTAGCTCCTAGTATGTTCATAAAGCCTAATGGCTGTAGTATGCTTATAGAGGCTAATAGCTGTTATATGCTTATAGAGGCTAATGGTTGTACTATGCTTATAAAACTTAATTGCTGCAGTAAAGGACAGTATAGTTCTTTGACCAATCTAGTTTGTTGTCTAGGTGGACCCCCAGATGCTGTAGTGTGCTCTTGAAGGTTGTAGGATGCTCCTAAAACCTAATGGCTGTAGTATGCTTATAAAGCCTAATTGCTACAGTATGCTCATAAAGGCTAATGCCTGCAGTATGCTTATAGAACTTAATGGCTATAGTGTGCTCATAAAGGCTAATAACTGTGACATGCGCATAAATACTATACAGTACAATCCCATTATAATGGACTTTAAGGGATCTGGCAAAACAGTCCATTATATCCAAAGTACGTTATATCCAAAGTCCACAGGGCACCATTTACTCATGCCACACCCCAGCAGACACACTTGTGGTGTAGATTATTACATTGTAGATGCAGTAATCCAACTTTACCTGACTGTTGGAAGTATATATGGCCTATAAGTGGTTATACATTTACGGTACAGTTGTAACCTTGACCTTATTGCTTATTGCATTCCTCCAGCTGCGAGCGTCGTCTGCCGACACACAGCGTGCCTGGTGATGGACAGCCACACAGACCAATTAGTGTTGCCTGCTGTTACACCATGCCTATTTATAGAGAGTGACTATTAATAATCCCGACTACGTATCTGCACTGGATATCACCGGCATACCACGCGCCTTGTAGGCGGAACGTGCATGTCCTCTATACCCGAACAAAACTACAGCTAAAAGCAGCCCAGGGGGCCAAGTTGTTTGTCCATTTTATAAGCGAAATTCCGTTATATGCGAGTCCGCTATATCCAATGCTTTTTCTGCATGTTCGTAAAGGCGCACGGCTCGCACTAGCGGACCTCGTCCGTTATAGATGATTTTCCATTATAAGCAAGTCCACCATAACGGGATTATACTGTAGTATGCTTATGAAGCCTAATGATTGTAACAGCCAATGGCTACAATATGCACATAAAAGATTTGTGTGCTGGCTTCTTTCCCCAAATTCTGAAAATTTATCCTTACATTTTTAATTATTTTTTATTGATTCAATTAATCAATTATTACCCTACAATATTTTAGAAGATGTAGAGCACTGATCATCAACTGGCGGCCCGCTGAGCCGTTCAATCCGGCCCGCGACTGGATTCCAAAATTGTGAGGATCAAAAAGAAAATAGTGGTCCACACTATTAAAGCAACTAAAAATAACAACAACTGAGTCTCTTGTCAGAATAACCACCATTTATGACTATATTTAGGCTATGAAATGGAAAAAGTATAAACATTAAACATAATGTTAAGCAAAAATTAGATTTTTATTTGATTTTCTTCTTGGGGG